GTCTCTCAGGCCTCTGCAGCACCAATGCCCTGGGTGTGCCTGCACAGCCTGCTGTGCACCTGCACAAGTTATAGGACTATCAAGAGGAGATTCCTGACCTGGCTCCGCATCTGCTAGTGTAACACTTCAGCTACACCAGTTACAGCCATACTACTAACACAAATCAAATGTTTCTCCTGTGGAGCTTCCCAAGTCAAAGCTGGGCTCTGTGGTACCCACTCCAATCCGTTTCCTTCTCCACTAGTTGTTTCTTTCCTGGTTTTGCTGCACATGGCCTGACAACACCTCTGTTGCAATGCCAGGAAAAGTTCATTTTGGTGAACTTCCCCCAAACCTCAAAAACATTCAAGCCAGGACCTTAAAACGGTATGATGAATTTAAAACAAAACAAGACACAGTCTTTAAGGAAAAGCCCTGGTGTTCCTTCATTCTAAGCCTTTGGGCTTTAAAAATTTTCCCCACAAGCAGAAAGATTGTGCAGACCAGCTCCTAACTTTAAGTTTCAACAAAAGTCACATAGTAGTTCACCTATAAGGAAAAACAGCAGACATCAAAAGCTGTGTGATAAGATGATAGTTTATCACATGTGTGCAAAAAACAGCAAGGCATAAGATTCTGGGGTCTCTAGAGTGGTAAGTCATCAAAACAGCACAGCGGCTTTAACAAGAGGGTCCCACAAATAATGTCCTCATATAAGCTTTGTAGTTCATACAATAAGTACCAGAAGTTTTAAAAAGATTCAAAAAGGATTCTCAGGAGTCTAAGGGAAATCTGTGAAGCATTCAGCAGTGTTTTGAAAACAACGTTCACAATACCCCTTGGCAGTAAGGCACTGCCTCACCTCCTCCTCTGCTAGCTGCCAAACCACGCAGGGATGGGGAATGAGTATGGAAAGGTTCGCCAGCAGTACTTCCAAGAATGGAGGTAACTGTAACTAGAGCCTGTAACTATCCTATGCTGAGTAGCTACATGTCAGTTATACATGAAGCTAAGGTTTTGTATTCTTATTTTGTTGCAAAATAAGTAGTTTTCAAAAAATCTGGACATTTCTGCATTTCATTTGAAAAACATGCCTTGTTACATCTACAACAGTAGCATTGTGTGGCCCTGCTTAGTGTTTAAACTGTATAAAGACATGGAAAATGATCCCTAGAACAGATTTTTCAGGCTACTTTCAAGATTATCTATATTCCCATTAGGCTTAATTAATCCAAATATGACTGTATCTGATTTCAGCCTGAGGCGGGCTTTTGTTCAAGATACACTGTTACACTTCCTGACCAGCAACAGGAAACCACTTTCAAGACTACCATTTAAAAATATCTCCTTCTCAAAATTTTTTACCTTTTTTGAGGTCCAAAGTGAAACGAGCTTTTATGTTTCTTCTTTGTCCTGATGCAATAGAAGTTTTTCCTCTCCAAGAAAGCAAGCTTACTGTGACAGCGGAAACAAGGAATACTACCAAGATCCCAAAAACCTTTCGGTATTGTAAGGGACAACTGAAAGGCTTTGGTCCAGTTTTGACTTCTAGTTCCTGCACTGTGCTATCACCCTTTGAGAGACTGTTGAAAGTCTACAGCCCAGTCACAACAGAGAAGTTTTTTTCAGAAGGGCAGGTTTATTTATGGAGTAGTCAGGCCAAAGCTGAAGTCAGAGTCCCAGAAATTTTCTCCACACAATGCGAAAACCAGCATAGATAGGAACAAGATTCAGTACAATGCCCCTTGACCTGCTAGAGCTTCATGGAGACAAGCAATAGAAGGTCCTTCCCTCAGTTCTTGGCAGCATCAGCACCAGCATATACTTTACTCTTAGCTGGAGGTGGCACACTCCAACATTGTCCTTGGAGAACACAAGGCAAGAGGCAACGGACCAAAAATGCAGTGCTTCTTATAACAAACATCCAAACTGGAGGCAAAAGCTAACTCATGTAAAAACCCTAAAATTCTCTGTGGATGATTCTTTTTGTGTAAAGAATCTTACTATTATTTCGCATTCACTAAATGAATTATTTTCATCACAAATACTTACGGAGAAGGAGGATGATGCTAAATTAGCATGGATTGGAGGATATCTAAGACAAAAATGAGTGATAGCCCTGAACAGAAAGGCTAATTTGATACTTGCCATTAGAAGTGCAATTGATTGAATCCAGTTTCTGTGCCAGAATCACCGTTGGAAATTCATTATCCATACCTGTATCATGTAATATTCATAAGCCTAAGAGCAAAGCACTTTGGACACTTTTCAATGTTTGTTCCTTTAAAACATTCACATACTGTCCCATGGGAATCCTGAGATACCGTAAGTTCTCTTGCAGCAAAATCCCAACAAATGACAATTCACAGAAGTTGTTGCCCTTTTAGCTGGCTTGGAAACCTGTCAGCTATAGATCATGAAACACAACAGTCAAGTATTGAAACAACTGATAAGTCTCCTGGCTTTTCAAAAGATTGGGAGTCACTATGGCCTTCACACATTTCTCCAAGGCTCAACGCCAGCTGTAGGCCACTCAAGTGAGTATCACTGTTGGACGAGTAGTGCCTGAGAACAAAAAAATTATGAGCTCTCTGTATGCCACTCCTGATGTTCCTCAAGTAATTATAACCAAAAGTTCCCATGGATGCCTTGACATTTCCTCCAGAATACAGCATTTTAGTTAATTGAGTTTTTTTCTTGATGATGGATGACTTTTATATCTGAGCCTCATCAGAGGTTTCCTTTGCTTGTTAGGGAATTTAGATTGAAATACTGTGAGACATTATTCAAATTTCAAAAGAATATTTTCTACTCTTCTACTTCCAACTTAAGATTCACATTAGCAAATTTCCCTGGCAGTGTCATAATTTCTTATTCACCAACCATGAAAACATTGTATGTGACACAAATTCAAAAAAAAAAAAAAACCAAAAAAAAAACAGGCAAAGCTGGTAGTCACTACTCCATGTGCCACTTACAATCAGAAAAAACCCAAAAGTTTAGAATTCATATGCTTGGTAGAAATGATACTTTCATACGGTAAACAGCACACCATGTTAATGAGTTTGACAACTATTGCCTTCTACTTTATATTTTGTAATACACATACATGTGGGTTTTTACACTTCTTACCCCAACTTTAAAAAATTGCAAATAGACACATAAGATGCAAAACAAAAATTAATGGGATCCACATTTTGAAAACAAGTTGTGGATTTTCTTGTTAAAAGGTCAAGCAGAGAACAACTGACTTGGGTTTGCTGCTTGAAATGTCAGCAGATGATATAACTTGAAGTCCAGAACAAAACTGACTTATATAAGTGATATTAATCTAATTATGCAATAATTCAAACTAACCCAGGCATTTTTGTCTTGCTAAGTACGGTTTAAAAATAAAGAGCCTAAACATGAGATCTCTGCTGGGCCAAGCATACCCAAGAATTCGCACTATCAGCTAGAAACTGACAAGAGTTCCACTTAAAATGCTGTGATTTACACTAGGGATTTTGAGTAAATTTGATTAGTTTCCTACATTTATGCGGACTATATTAAGAGCAAATGAATTCTCTCAGCATAAAACAGTGAAACAATGAAGAACAAATGAGCTAAGCCATCTTCATAAATCAATTCATGATAAAATATGTGCTAATCCCAATCTGCACTCCGGTTAGATATTACCATATGAGTACATTCAGTAATTTTAATTTCAACTGCCTGCAGCTAAACAGAAAATGGGAGCAAATCAAGACCACTGTCATCATTCACATTTGCTATTGCACCATCACATCTGTAAAGAAAAAATGGCAGAGCTGCCCCAAACAACATTCACTGTGTCTTCTAAAATGCTACTCTTAATCCTATTACATGATTCACTTATAGCGACACTGATTGAACATATGCAGTCCTCGTGTTTCTGAGGAAAAATAGGAGAGGAAAATCTTCTTTCCAGATGTAGAGAGTCCAACAACTTTATAAACTTTCCATTTACCTTTAAAATAAAATAGAATCATGTGGAACTACTAATAGTGGGGTCTTTAAAGGGTAGGAAGTTAATCTGAATATGCCTGAGGCTTCCACTCAAAAGTTCACTCCATGTTTTGAAATTCTGATCTCTCACTAGATTGGATTGGAAGTGCTATAAAAACAGCTTATTCTCTTGTTATTTCATTACTTCCACAATTCTTTCCAAGCCAATCTTCTAATTATTGAAAAGCATTAAGAGACAAGGATTATTTCAAATTCTTCAGTTACATAGGGATTCAAGTGGGCTAAAAAGATTATGTTCTGCACAGAGCGTATTTCTGCATTTAAAAAAATATTTCTGTTGTTGATAATACATATTTCACTTATTAGCTGCTATGTCCATTCAAAAAAAATTATTTTTACTAACAAATTAATAAAGACAGATATAAGATTTTTTTATCTCCTCGAGATTTTTTGAAACATTGGCTGAATATTCAACAGAAAGGGCATTCTGAGGCTGAGTTTGGACCCTCAGGACAATTCAACAGCATGACAGGGACAGAAACCGAAATCAGTAACCTTAACTTTTCAGTCTGAAAGTGGCAGTCTTTATAATTTCCCTAGTTAGAATTAAAATTCAATAAAGAAGCCTGAAGATTGCCTATGAAACAGAACTATCCACCTCCAGTTAGCTCTGCAATTGTCTACCTCAAAATTACTTGGATGAGCTCTTCTCATTCAGGGATACATCCCTCTAAAAATGTCACTGAATCAGTTATTATTCTGGGAGTGCAATCACATTTTAACCCAAACCAAGAGTGAAAGAAAGAGTTTACAGAAGAGGGTAGAAATATCATCCCCATCTTACAGACAAATGCATACAGGTGGATTAAACAATATTTTCATAGTAATTCAGCAAGTTTGTGACAGATTTGTATCTATAGCCATGTTTCAACATGTGCGCTGTTGTCTGTCAACACCACTTCTTCACTACAGAATCATCTCCTTTGAAAGAAATTATGTTTCCAGAGAAGGAAAATCTGAGAAATCTCTCTTACCTGGCAAAAAATGATGCTGCCACCGAGGTGCCTGTGGATACTTCACTGGCAACATATGTGCTCTGGGAAGCAGGGAAGCTGTACAAGGAGGGTTTATCTGCATTGTAGCGGTTCAACGCTGCTTCAGTCAGGCCCTCTCGACTAGTCTCTGTCATAAGCTGAGATATCTGAAGACAGGAAAAAACAAAAGCGTCATCAGCTAAAGCTCACTAGCTGACCCCTCCTTATCCAGAAGACCCTCTGGGTTGCAGATGGAGTAAGAGAGGCATTTCATTCACTATATCTTTGCTGCTCTGTGAACAAGTCTATTGCTTCTGTCATGCTAATCTACAATACTTTGGCTCAGCTCTAACCTTGTCTGCATTAAAACTAATGGGATAAATTCATCCTGTCACTAGAAATGTCAATAATGTCTATAGCTTTCCATCCATACGGAAAAGAGTAAACTATAATCCTTGCTTGGTTTTACCTCAGGGTAGAAGACAGACAGCTTAGATATGTGTAAGATATTTATATTTTACTTTGAGAAAAAAAATACATTTGTTTCCCTTTGTAAAATAACACAGCACTAGTGTTTTAAGTACTTTTGTTGACCTTTCTCCAGAAAAGCCAGCACACAACATAGGAAGGAGTCCTTTGGGATCCTAGACTAGTTATCATCTCTCTGGAAAACTGGGATCATTACCACTCACTTTCACTGGCTTTGTTAAAAGGTTTTAAACATCCAACGATTTCATTCTTCTGATGGCCCATTTAACTTTTTTTTTTTTCCATTAGGAAGTCTCATCTCAGCCTTTCATTGCCTGGGAAAAGAAATGGAGTTCAACCAGACTTGACCCAGCTCTCCTCAAATTAGCTAAAAGATCTTTATCTACTTCAGAGAAAGATGGGTTAGCCATATTGAAGCACCTCCTCAAAACTTTGATTTCAGTTTCTGGACTATTACTTCTACATGAATGTACAATGCTGTGATGTCATCTATTGTACTTCACACAATTCCTAACAACTTCCCTTTCCTCATTCCCTTATATCAACCACAAATAGCTGTTGTTGACCAATGTGTGTCAAAATTGCAAAATATACCTAAAAAGAGCCCTCCCAAATTATTGCTAGCGATTGTTCCCCTGCAAAAATTTGCAATAACCAGCCTTTCACCTGCTCAATTGCAGTACTCATGCCTATCCTTATCACCACAGTAAGAGAACAACTTTGGAGGCGTATCAAGAAAAGTACTTGAGATCATCCTGTAGTTCTTTTTCCACTTAAGCTTGCTTTATTTCAGCTGTTAAACATCTCAGTTATTAAAGGCAAAGTTGAAGAACTGTGATTTGTATTTAGGAGGGGAAAAGACATGTGATATGGCAACATTTTTCAGACCAACTATCAAGCCACCTCTGTTTCTTTTATAGACAATTGTTACCCATTTCACTATGGCTAAGAAAATAATATAAGAGTTTATCTTACATATTTTTTAAGCTAATCAGCTGTAACACTTCAAGAACAGGAATGCTAAACTAGCCACTCTATTTTACGAGGAACCAGTAAACTTGCTGAAAGTGCCCCTACCACATTAGTCACACACTGAGTCTTTCTAATTTACTGATTCACCATATTGAATGAACAGTGCTCTCAGAAGGCTATAGCTGAAATCCTGGACTTAAATCATCTCATACTACTGTTAAAACACAAGAATTTAGGCTTGCTGCCAGAATACCTTCCTGCATTTCCAGTGAGCAGGCAAATAGACATTTGTTCTTCTAACATAGGTTCTGCTAACCTATGTATGTCCACTTGGGGCATCCAATACACTTAAATTCACCAAACAATAATTTCCTCAAATCTTCCATAATTTTTGCTAACTCAGCTATTTATATTTGCAGTGAACTAGCACAAGATTCTGCCCTATTCCCTCAAATTATCCTGAAACCAATTTCATCATCTACCACATTCAGAACTGCTAAGCAAACAGATTTAAAAAGCTCTCCCTTCAGAGCAGAGAGCACTTATAAACCTAACCTCATCCTAGTCCATCCAATTCACATACATGAAATCAGGGATGGGCCATCATTGATCAATTGCCATTGCTAACACTTGTGAGTGCTACTCACTTCCACAGCAACCTGACAGCAGTTAAGTTAACTCATTAACTTATCTCAACTGCAATCTCAATTGTGATCATAACCTCCCCATCTTCTGCCAAATAAAGATTTGCAGCTCCAAATATGAATTTCCACAGCCAGTGCAGCACATTTCTATTGGTGTCAGATCCCCTGAAGTTGCAAGATGGTGAGGCCTGAAAGAGGCATTTCAGCCAACTGCAAAACAGGAAAGGATTTGTGTGTCTCGGTGTTTGGGACAACCAGAAAACATCCATCATGATGTGGGCACAAAAGCAGTAACTAAATGGTTTCTGTGATTATAGAGACTTCCAGGTCATCCATGCCCATATCCACAAGTCCTATTAATGTGAACAGCACAGAGTAAACAGAGCAATAAAAAAGCCTCAAACAGATCATGGACATTTCCTGAAAGTTATTATTCTCAAGCTTCCTCAAAAACTGATTAGGTGCTTGGTTCATGAGCTTTTGAATGACTAGTTCTTAAATACAAGCACTCCAACATAATCAAGTACTCACTTGAGTTAGTTCTATTCCATTTCTTTCTTTTGCCTCATAGATTGAAGAGTGTAGAAATCATTTAAACTATTAAACCAAACTGAAGAGTGGGCTTTGGAGGTAATCCTACCATCTGATTTACTTTGTCCTTCAGTCACAGTACCAAATTATCCCTTTCTCCTCTGACATAGCTCACTGAAGTTCACACACACACAAACTTGAGTAAATGCACCCAGGATATATCAAGCATTTAAGGAAAAAATAGTCATAGAACAGACATTTCAAAAGCTCGGAGAATTGCTTTTTTCCCCCATCCCAGTTCAAAAGACATAGTTGAAAATCACACTTTGAACATTAACAAACTCAGGCTTTTTTTTTTTTTAATTTCCAACAATTCCCCTTACCTAGAAGAAAAGAAAAGAGAATAGAAGAAATGGGGAAGGGGACGGAAAACGGAAAGAAGTCTTTCCCTTCTCTTCTGTGAGTACCCACGTAGCATATATGTGAGGTTTAAGATCAGTTAATAGTATATATTTTGAAAAAATCCTTTATTGAATTGTTGGCAGCACATCACTGCCTGGATAAGCAACAAAAAGACAAAGCGTGGAACAATGCAACCTTTCATGCCTCAATAAAAACCTTTTAAAGTACACATGGAACAAGACAGATGTCCCAGGCCCCATTTTTTTCTCCTGTCTCATAAAAGCAAGGCATCCATTAACCTCCTCTTCCACTGCTTTCTGACAGTATACAGCAAAAGCTGGAGATTTAAATTCTCTACTTCATAGGAAAAAGATGGCTCTGCAGTTAAATCACAGGTGTCATCCAGGCTAGGTTGTCTTCCTATTCCAACTAAAGAGTCACTCTGTGCATAAGACTTGCCATCATGCAGTATGAGGTTAATTATATTTACTTAAGCATGTTTTACAGCCAAGCTCATTAATGTTTCTAAAGCTCCTAACTGAGGACTCCCAACTGAAATTACTGTACAAACGGAAGTTAGCATTTATGAAAGATGTTGAAACATCCTTGGCTCTGGAGGCAGTGAAGCATTCAGGAACATCCCCAAAATCTAGTTAACGTCAATGATTGATGAATGAACTGTATGCACAGAAATGTATCCATGTCTGAAGTCAAATTCAAGATACAAATCTATGTCCAAATTCACTATAAAGCAATCCTCAGTTTCCAGAGATCCTAATCTCGGGAGAGAAGCTCACTAGCAAGAAGAAACTGTAGGTAGAAAGCTCTTTCATAAATACACACACTTATGAATGACTTCTTTGGCAATCTACTCTTGATTCAGAGCAGCACTGAATTTTCCGCCCGATAAATACTGACGAAATTGCTTCCTGACTTACTTTAGACAGCAAATGTCTACGTTAACCAAGAAAAAGGTTCTTCTTAAAGAAACCCTTTAACAAATGAGTTGAGGGAAGCTCTAAAGGATACCCCTCTCAAAGCTTTGGCACAACAAAAACATCATAAATTCTTATAAACCTCCTTAGAACACAAGCTTAGCAGCTTAATTTCAAGTTTTCCATTACGCACAATCAGGTGTCCTGGTTCTTCTAAAATATTAATCTTTTAGCTTCTGTCCAACTCCTTTTAGCTCATCACAGTTTACTCTCTGTCATAACAAGATAGTTATTCTTCCTGTTTGGCTCAAGGAGTCTCATTTCTGGTCTATGGGAGTGATGAAACAAGCACTGGGAGAGGCATCTCACAGTACAACTTTCACATGTGTCTTTCTTCTGATACATGTACAGAACACTAAATCTTTCCCAAGAACTAAGCAACCCTGTTTTTCCCAGGCTTGACCTACTCCTACTAATTCTTACAGGTTGCGGCAAGAACTCTAATTTACAAATTCATTTTGAAATTGCAAAGAATTCTTCCACTTTCTTTAGTGTATGAGAGTTCATTGTCTGATGTGACAGCATAGTGGATTGCAGAACAAGATAAAAATCTTAAGTCTTCAGTAAGCTGCCAGTTTCCCAGCCACTACAAATTTCAGTGGAATTAGAGTAACTTGCTTAGAGGAAGCAGCATCAGAAAACAGAGCAGGACCTGACAGAAGGGTGGTTAATTCAGGAAATATTGGAGTTCTACTTCATCTAGAGAAGGCATCTTTCAACAAGGGGATGTGTCATTAGGTCCTCCTCCTACAATTTGGCTGTTTTACCTAACTTCATCCCTTTGGCCTAACATGGAAGTTCTGCATGAAGTTCTGTGCAGTAACAAAAAAGTACAGTATAAATTTATGTATGGTAGCATTCAAAGGACAATGTCACAGCTGGGATCCACTGTGCTCAGTTCCAAAAAGAAAAAAGAGAAATGTGGATAATTTGGCATTTTCTATACTTCATTTTCATAATTTTAGTGTTGTTGGGAGAAGTTAGCATGTGAAAATAGGAAAGGGAAATACTTAAGAGTCAGTTTCAAATATTGTCAAATACAGCTTTGAGGTAAATCTGGTAGAGGGTTTACTGAACTACCAGTCAACTGAAGCGGGGTTTCTGGGGTGGAGGAGTAGGGGAAAAGAGGAATCT